ACTCACACACACACACTCTCACACACACACACACACACACACTCAATCACTCACACACTCACTCAAACACACTCACTCACACACGCTCGCTCACAGACACACACACTCTCACACACACGCTCGCTCACGCAGACACTCTCGCTCACACCTCCTTCCTCAGACCTGCTTTAACCTGAAAACTCTCTCTCTCAGACACAAGAAAGAGAAAAAGAAGGATAAAGACCGCGAGAGAGACCGTGACCGAGACAGGAAGGATGATTGGGACAGAAATCGGGACAAAAGCGAACGTTCCTCCAGCAAGAAGAGCAAAGACAAGGACAAGGAGAGAGACAGAGACCGAGACCGAGACCGAGACAGAGACAGGAAGTCTGACAGCGAGAAGGGAGATGTGAAGGTACCACTGGCTTGTGTTCACTAACCAGTCAACAACTGCGCTTTACATCCTACAGACCTGCCAACCTGTATGCATTTGACCTCAAAGTACGCTGGTACGATTCGTCACTCTAAACTCCACAAACCGCAGAAGATGAAGAGTTTGACCAATCAGAGCGTTTAGATTTTCTTCTTTTTCGGTTTTGCGCAGGGCTGCGACGATATAGCCAACAAATTCTCACAATTTTGTTCATATCAGGTGATATAGATAATTATCATGATAAATACCAAGTCTTTTAAGTTTAAAGCCAGGTTTTTGCTCAAATGAAACTAGACCATTAATTTTCCTTAAAATAAATATCGTCATAGAAAAATGAATTCTTAGTTTCCGTATGTTCAAATGAGTGATTGTTTCAAATCAAGAAACAGGTTTGTGTTGCCTGTTGATAATATAACATTTTTTGTCTCTTAGATATATATATTTGATCGTATCCTGAGTTAGGATGCAGATGCAGATTTATGTTCATTATCAAAATCAGTAACAGCTGTGAGTATTGTAGCAATCTCATTTTTATATGCTGAAATTTAATTATTCACTTTTTTTATTTTTATTAATCATTGGTCTTCCATAGTAGCATACATTTAAATCATGATAAACAGTTAAACATCACATCTAGCACACCTCAATACCATAGTAAAATATACTATAATTATATTCCATTACTCCTATAATAAAATTTAATATAAATATCCTTTAGAACTATCCTGAACTAAGTGTGATTTTTCTCTAAATCAGATCTGCTGACTCTATCGCCTTCAAACGGCTGTCTTTTGTTGTGTGTGTGTGTGTGTGTGTCTGATTCCAACGAGTCAGATATCATTCTGAATGTTTAATGGAGAATGTGAACACACAAAAATAACTAATTTCTGAAAATTTGCTCATTCCGACTCATTTTGCCAGATGCAAGCTCCTCACCTTTAGGTGACAACTCACTTTTTTGAGATCAAAATAGGTCACCTATGAGACTTTTTTAATATTCAGTTATGAAAAGGTAGACTGGTGTTATTTGTATTGGGAAAAGTAAGACTTGGCAACTGCTAGTAAGGTTTGCATGGAGTTTAAAGAGTAAAGAAAATACTGTCTAAAAGGGTAGTATTTGAGGTCAGAGATGTGTGAACGCTGAAGAAGAGAGAGAGAGAGGGCAAACATTTCAGCTCAGCATTGCCGTCTAATCAGCTAATATTGTTTTAAAGGGATAGTTCACCCAAAATGAAAATTCTGTCATTGATTACTCGCCCTCATGTCGTTCCACACCCCTAAGAATTCTCACAATTTTGTTCATATCAGGTGATATAGATAATTATCATGATAAATACCAAGTCTTTTAAGTTTAAAGCCAGGTTTTTGCTCAAATGAAACTAGACCATTAATTTTCCTTAAAATAAATATCGTCATAGAAAAATGAATTCTTAGTTTCCGTATGTTCAAATGAGTGATTGTTTCAAATCAAGAAACAGGTTTGTGTTGCCTGTTGATAATATAACATTTTTTGTCTCTTAGATATATATATTTGATCGTATCCTGAGTTAGGATGCAGATGCAGATTTATGTTCATTATCAAAATCAGTAACAGCTGTGAGTATTGTAGCAATCTCATTTTTATATGCTGAAATTTAATTATTCACTTTTTTTATTTTTATTAATCATTGGTCTTCCATAGTAGCATACATTTAAATCATGATAAACAGTTAAACATCACATCTAGCACACCTCAATACCATAGTAAAATATACTATAATTATATTCCATTACTCCTATAATAAAATTTAATATAAATATCCTTTAGAACTATCCTGAACTAAGTGTGATTTTTCTCTAAATCAGATCTGCTGACTCTATCGCCTTCAAACGGCTGTCTTTTGGTGTGTGTGTGTGTGTCTGATTCCAACGAGTCAGATATCATTCTGAATGTTTAATGGAGAATGTGAACACACAAAAATAACTAATTTCTGAAAATTTGCTCATTCCGACTCATTTTGCCAGATGCAAGCTCCTCACCTTTAGGTGACAACTCACTTTTTTGAGATCAAAATAGGTCACCTATGAGACTTTTTTAATATTCAGTTATGAAAAGGTAGACTGGTGTTATTTGTATTGGGAAAAGTAAGACTTGGCAACTGCTAGTAAGGTTTGCATGGAGTTTAAAGAGTAAAGAAAATACTGTCTAAAAGGGTAGTATTTGAGGTCAGAGATGTGTGAACGCTGAAGAAGAGAGAGAGAGAGGGCAAACATTTCAGCTCAGCATTGCCGTCTAATCAGCTAATATTGTTTTAAAGGGATAGTTCACCCAAAATGAAAATTCTGTCATTGATTACTCGCCCTCATGTCGTTCCACACCCCTAAGACCTTCGTTCATCTTCAGAACACAAATGAAGATATTTCTGATGGCTCCGATGGCTCAGAGAGGCCTCCATTGACAGCAACGCCACCCAAACTCTCAAGATCCATGAAGGTACTAAAGACGTCGTTAAAACAGTCGACGTGACTAGTGTTCTACAATAATTTTATGAAGCGACGAGAATACTTTTTGTGCACAAAAACGAGTTTATTCAACAACTTCTCTTCGGTGTCATTCTCATACGTTGTTTACGTCCAGCGCTTCCAGGTTCTACGTCAGAACGCCGGCTCATTACACTTCACGTAAACTGGATAACTTTCTCTCGCAGGTCATTCGACAGTCCAGCTGTATCTCCCGCAATGTGTTTTTCCGTAGTGTGAACACGCGCCGCCATCATAGACCGTAGTTTGCTAAGAAATGACTTCTCTGTACTGTTTGCAATGTTACAACTGAAAATAAAACTTCATATAAAATTCCAGTCCACTTGTTCCTTCAAACCCACATTGCTAGGGCTGTTAGAGGGATGTGAAACTCTTAATTGTATTTTCTGAGATTTTAACTTGGTGTTGCACACCAGAAGACAATGTTAGCATCCATTAATTTGTTAGGGAAATTAATAATACAGCATAGAATGGTGAGCAGATCTTGTGTTTTCAATTTGTAAAGCGCAACAAATATATTTTGATAATTTAATGACATTTTGGCTGTAATCGAATGCAAATATTCTTGAATATGTCATGTTTTTGCGAGCGCTTTCAGTAATGGCGCGAAATTCTGAGGCGAGGCTGTTCACAGGTTATTATAATTAAGTAATATCTGCACAAAATTAAAGGTCCGTTCATACCATCAACGATAACTATGTTAGCGTCCACACCAATGTGTTGCTTGAGTTTTTTTTAGCGTTAAATGCTGTGGATTTTTTAAATTCTCAAATTTTAAATCATTTAAAAAATACATTCCTTGTTTTATTGTTGTGATTAATTTTTTTAAAGATTATTTTAATGTGCTATATGCTTGCCTTGCCTATTTTGAGATAATTACTCTTGAGTGTACAAGACCTAAGTGACTACTCAACAACTATGAAATATCGATTTAGGTTTAAATTGTTATACTTTTACCTGTATATTACCTTAAAGCTGCCGGTGAGACTAAAGTAGTCCGTTACAATATACAAAACAATCAGCACTGCAACAAATAATATTAATACTCAGTCCTCTTGAGGCGTGGTCTATGGAAGGCCAAAAGTGTCAAAAACACGTGAATTTGTTGACTCGTTAAAATTCACGTGTTTTTGACCCTTTTGGCCTTCCATAGAGGTCAGCGGTTTGACATAGTGTTGCTATTGACGACGTGAATATTTGAACATTTTTGCCACTGAACCCCGCGACTGACCAATCAGAATCAAGTATTCCAGAAAGCCGAGAAATACGAATAGTTAAGCGCATTATTTTAATACTACTAGTTGCTGGTAACGGCTTTTCTGATATTGGGTTTCTAGAACTGTCAGGACATTGAGACTTTTTTTTTTAAACTGGATGTTTTACAAACTGCATCAAAGTTACTTCGTTAATTTCTAAAAGTTTTATTTTTAAATACTTAAGCGCAATTATATGAGGATACTTAAAGCTCACCCCAGTACATTTTAACTTTTACACAGTACCCCTACTTTAGGTTAAGTACATTTTTCTGTATTATTTTTAACCCATTAAGCCCCCTCATGAGTTTGAATCCTTAAGAATGTTATGCAAGGCATCAATATCTTGCTAATAAAGACAGTTTGACCAAAACATCCTCAAAACGACTGATAACATTGGACAGACTGGACATTTTATTAATTGCAGTTTGTCGTGTAAAAGTGCAGCAGGTTCATACAAGGTTCCTGCTGTACATCCGAGAGTTCAATGCATTTGGGAGAAAATCTGAAGAACTACTGAAGGCATAAAGCAACTCTAAAAACAATGACATGAAACACAGGGGAAAAAAAGAAGCTGGCAACATAATAAAAATAAAAACACGCGAGTTTCCACACTAGCCAGTAGTGGGTCATGGAAGCATCGCAGCACGTTTCCATTTGGATAAGAACGAATGAAACAGAGGAAACTTTCCAACGTGATACTGCTGGTGCAAACGTGACGCGAGCTCCTTCTCCCTCGGCACACAGCAAACACACACATAAAACACTTATCTCGAACGTCTCCGAAACATTTTACACTAATATCTCATTATACATCAGTCGATTATACTACATTGGAAAACATATTTAAATTTGAATGTATTTACATCCATCTATCAAGGTGAAAGTAAAGTGAAAGTCCCGTGCGTTTCTGCTACATTTACATCCGGTCCAGTCCGATCCTCCACTAGGACGTGACAAAGCAAATGATCCGAACAAACATATAGTGAAGGGCAGCGTGAACAAGCCCATTTCCCATAATGCAACAAGCAAACGAACTGGAGAAGGAAGTGGTATTTACACAAAGTTTGTAGAAATGACATAGACATTGTATTCTGTGACAATTCAAATCATATACAGACGACTTCCGCTTCTTTCCTAAATGTACACGTTTCCTTTAAGTGAAGTATACAAGTTTGTAACAGTTGTACAAAGATTTTAATGAAAACTCGGCTTGTGTAATAATTTATAATGCCGTATTTCCTGCCAGTTACAGCGGTGATGTGAAGCGACGCTCCGTGTTTCTAACGTACCGCTCCATCCGGAGCTTCATCATGTAGTGCAGCTGCGCTCCGCTTCGGATTCACACTCGCTTCAGCACGATCCCTTTGTGTGTTCGTATGACGTCAGGTATTTCCTACACGTGTCCATCTGCACTGGTCTGGACTCAGAAGTTTGACCGGAGGGAGATGGGAGGAGACGGGGAGCGGCTCAGAGGTCTGGGAAGCGGCTGGGATCCTCCTTGTAGTCGTTGGGAATCGTAAAAATGGAGTCGTGGAACTGGTCGTAGCGGAACTCCTGAAAGGTGACGGTGGCAGTGATGGTGGGGAAAACAGGGATGTCTGGAAGAGAAGCACATCATCATCAGAACATACAGCATTATGATGATGCTGCGTTCACATTACTATGGAATTATTGTAATTATGAGACAAGAAGAAGCCTCCAATTGAATCCACATTCGTCTTTTTGGCCAAATGCATCATCACTGCATTAAATCATCTTCATATTATTTTACAAAATCCTAAAGAACCAAACAAGCACTTCAGGCAACAACTATAATAAAACAATACAAACTGCCATTCTGGTTATTTTTGCATCACAACGATCAAGTGGCAGATATTGGAGATTTACATTAAGCTTTGCTTTTTAAAATTACATTAGTTACAACAGTGTATTGTTTACCGTATATTTTACAGTTAATTACTCTACAATGTTTTGTTTACAGTTTATTAGTTTACAGAGTATTTTTACTAGTTTATAATGTATTGTTTACAGTGTGTTTTACAGTTTATTAGTTTACAGAGTATTTTTACAGTTTATTAGTTTATAATGTATTGTTTACAGTGTGTTTTACAGTTTATTAGTTTACAGAGTATTTTTACAGTTTATTAGTTTATAATTTGTTTACAGTGTTTTTTTTTTACAGTTTATTCGTTTATAAACTAAAATAAACTATTAGTTTACAGTGTATTTTTACAGTTTATTAGTTTACACACACACATATATATATATATACACACACACAACACACATCCATATATATATATACAAATATATTTCTATATATACACACAAATACAAATGTGTGTTGGCAGTGTGTGTACACAACCACCCTATAATGATAAATTTTTACAGTTTATTAGTTTATAATTTGTTTACAGTGTTTTTTTTTTACAGTTTATTCGTTTATAAACTAAAATAAACTATTAGTTTACAGTGTATTTTTACATTTATTAGTTTACACACACACATATATATATATATATACACACACACAACACACATCCATATATATATATACAAATATATTTCTATATATACACACAAATACAAATGTGTGTTGGCAGTGTGTGTACACAACCACCCTATAATGATAAAAATCCACCCAGAGTTTTTTTTAAATCCCGATAAATCATATCCCCTTTCTCAGATCAAGCCGTTCTCAGATTCTTGGCAGAGTGACGTCACACAGACCCAGGCCCCTCCCACAACTGTTGATTGACACTGCTGTTGGATGTAACTTTATATTGCATTAATTGAATTATTATTAATAATAATAATAACAATGTTCAATTCTTAGTACCCCCGTAGAACTGGTCCTGCATTTACCTAAAGCAGTGTTTTTCAACCTTTTTTACTCCAAGAGCCTTTTCTATTCACTAAAAAACATTTGTATTCTAGTATTATTACTTTTCAATTACATGTAATTATTTTTAAACAAAACATTCAAGATAGATTCAAACATTCCGTGTTCTTTTTTGCAAACATACTTTGCAAATATGTCACCGCAGATATTCTATACAAGTACGTAAAGTTTAATTACACAGTAATTTGAACAAATAAGCACTAGGTCAACCTGCAATACCAAACAAGACCACAGGGAGATGCCAAAGGACTGCATATAAACTACTATATGGCTCCATTCAGAATCACTAAACGCACCAAAATACAAATGAAAAATGCAACCATTCTGAATGTGTGGAAACATTCTCATCGTCGCCTTTTAGACTTTTCATTAAGACCTTAAAGAATCATATCAACTTGTGAAAAATGGGCATCCGATGACCCCTTTAAA